CCGGTGACCCTTCCTCAGTTCTGAGGAAGGGTCACCGGACCCGAAACGTTAACTCTGTTTTTTCCTTCACAGATGCTGCCAGACCGGCTGAGCTTTTCCAGCAATTTTGTTTTTGTTCCTGATTTACAGCATCCGCAGTTCTTTCAGTTTTTATGATGTGTCTTTGAGGTCTGGCTGAAGCATCCCCATCCCCTGTTCTGAGATTGTGGAGATCTATTAATCCATCAGTTCGACTGCCCTGTTGACCAATACAGAGATGGCGATGGACATGGGATAGAGGCTTCATGTCACAGTCTGTCAAACAGCCTGCAAATCACTGTTCACTGAGGGTGGAGTGAAGGAATACATGACTAATAAAATTGGGGAAAGAACCCTGTGTATTTGGGAAGGGAATGGATAATGTTTGGTTTATCTCGAAAGACTGACAATGGCACTTTACAAAAAAAATTTAAACAACTTCTTTTTACAACCACCACTCACACCTCCATATACTTGTGAAAAACAAAAAGATTTGCATTGATATTGTATCTTTCACAACCTCAAAGTCCCACAGCAAAGCATCTAAAGAGGTACTTTTGTATTGACTTTTCAGAAAAGAGATGGCACTGCTCAAAAAAAAAAACAAGGGAGTGATTGATGAGGGCAAGATGGTACATCTTGTTTATATGGACTTTAGCAAGGCCTTTGACAAGGTCCCTCATGGCAGGCTGAAACAAAAAGTGAAGTCACATAGCTGGTAAGTTGGATACAGAACTGGCTTAGTCGTAGAAGACAGAAGTAGCAGTGGAAGGGTGATTTTCAGACTGGAGATCCAGGAGCAGTATCAATTACTAAGGGCCACAGGTTTAAGATAAAAGGGATTATGTTCAAAAGGAAATGTGAGAGGCAAATTTTTTCGTACTTGGAGTGGTAAGTGTCTAGAATGCACTGCCAGAGGTGGTGGTGGAGATGGATACAATAGCAACATTTAAGAAGCATCTTGACAGAAACATGAATAGCTGCAGAATACAGGAATACAGTGTATAGAGGCAAAAGGTTTTAGTTTAGAAAGACATCATGTGTCGGTGCAATCGTGACGAGCTGAAGGACCAATTCCTGAGTTGTACTGTCCTTTAAGTGCTCCCTGATGATCCGATCAACAGCCATCCCTTAACTAACATCATTAAAGCAGATTACATTACTATTACCACAGAGGTGTTGTGGGATCTTGCTGTGCACAAGTTGGCTGCTGTAATTCTGACATCTCAACAATGTCCAGACTTCAAAAGTAGTTCACAGACTGCAAAATACTTTGGTAATGCCATATAAATGCAACAGTTGCAGATCAAGTCAGCCTGTCTGCAAATGTTGTGTCACATTTGATCCCAAGATGATCTTCTGACCTCACGTGTGATAACAAAGACTGCCTCTTTCCACCTTCATCACATCTCCCAACTCCACTCATCTCAGATCATCTGCTGCTGAAACTCTCCTCTGTGCTTTTGTTGTCCAACATGTTCTTTACTGATCTCCCACATTCCTGCAAACTGGGAATTGGTTTTGCTCAGTTGGCCAGACAGCTAGTTTGCAATGTAGTGTGCTGCCAACAGCATTGGTTCAATTCCCACACCAGCTGAGGGTACCATGAAAAGCTGTCCTTCACACCTCAGGCAATAGGAGGGGAGAAGTTGAGGTGACCCTCAAGTTAAACCACCACCAGTCGTCTTTCTCTCTCATGAGAGACAGAGAGTAGGCTTACAGCAATTTTACCTATCCTAAAACTCTGCAGCTTGTCTCTTTGGCCCAAACTATATCCCACTTCCCTTTCATTCCAGTATTCACTGACCTACACGGGCTCCTGATGTGTTGATTTTTAAATTCTCAATCCTGTTCCATAACCCTCCCTGGACTTGCCTAAACCCTATCTTACGGATTTCTTCCAGCCCTCCAAGCCGCTGTAAAACCTTTACTGCTCCTGACCAGCCCCTTGGGGAACTTTATTACATTACAAGCAGTACATAAACATTAAGTGGTGGGAGGTTGCAGAGACACAGAGAGGTAAGCCCATGCATGATTGGGCACACAATTGAGAATTTTAAAATCAAGGCATTGGTGACTAGAGGTCAGTGTTAGTGAGTGAGCACAGGGTTGCTGGGTGAGCAAGTTGGGAACAGGCAGATTTCTGGGCAAACTCAAGTTCATGGCAAACACAATTGTGCCAACATGATGTGCCCACTGTATACACTGGACAATTACTATGAATCCTATAATGTGCATGTGGGGAATAGAAAAGAGTAACTCACATGCAAATTGCAAAATAATCTCTCAATATCAAATAACTAAATTGTGATATATGGATAGTGGCTGCAGCATTTAAAATTCACCTCACCTGTGGAATCCACTAGCAGCAAAATGGCTTTTCTTTAAATACCTCCATTGGTATAATAGCATAGAAACAAGCAGGGTTTTTCTTTATGCCTACACAGGATGTGGGCATTACTGGACAGGCCAGCATTTGTTGCCTGTCCCTAATTACCCTTGACCTGAATGGGCCATCTCAGAGGGCAGTTAAGAGTCACACAGATTGCTGTGGGTCTGGAGTCACATGTAGGCCAGACCAGGTGAGGATGGCAGATGTCCTTCCCTGAAGGACATTAGTGAACCAAGTTTTGCAACAACTGAGAATCAATTCATAGTTATGTGACTGAGCTGAGCTTTTTAATTCCACATTTATTAATTGATCATGAACAGTGGCTAGCTTAAGATTCCAGATTTTAGACTTTTTTTAAAAAAAAAACAAATCAACTTGTTCAGGCATGACACACCTCTGGAACAGGGTGGGACTTTAATCTGGGTCCTCTGGCTCAGGGACACTACCACTGCCACACAACAACCCTTAAACATTTGCAAGGAATTTCTAGAATTTTATTGTTTGAAGTTAAATTTCACCAACTGCTCGGGTGGGATTTGAACTCGTGTGCCCAGATCATTAACCTGGGCCTGTGGATGACTAGTCCAATGGGGTCACCACTGGGGCACCATTTTCCCTTTCTGCCAAAAGGGATCCAGATACACAATTACTTATGAACTCCCTCGCAACTTTACGTTATCCTTACCGATATTCTGAATCAGCTGACACCACTCGAGGTGATAATTTGTGACAGATAAATATAAATTAACCACTTACTGTACATCTCTCTCTCTCTCTGCCTTTAACAACCAACACTGGTCTGACACACCTACTGACAGCACTAGGTAGCAAACCTGGCCCTAATAGTCTCTGCTCCTCACAAGCATTGCCAAATCCACCATAAACCAAATTACTGAGGTAGGGTATCCCAAATGTGCCTTCACCTCTCCAAGGATTCTCCCTCACCCACAACCGAATGAATACCCGTTCAGCTTTTACTTTCAAGGTGTGGAGGTGCCGCTGTTGGACTGGGGTGGACAGAGTCTGAGCAGGTTATATAGAAGGGTCTAGAACCGAAACGTCAGCCTTCCTGCTCCTCTGATGCTGCTTGGCCTGCTTTGTTCATCCAGCTCTACACCTTGTTGTCTCAGATTCTCCAGCATCGGCAGTTCCGACAGGTTTATTTGAAAACACAAGCTTTCGGAGACGCAGTCCTTCTTCAGGTGCTAGAGAGAGAGGGGGAGTATCTGACACAGAACTCACTTTCAAAATTGCCGGATTAAAAGTCACTTCTTCTTAAAGTGACCACAGCTCAAGTCTCGGGAGAACTACTGGCGATTTGAAACAAACAATCTTAATATCTCCAAGCAAGGGGTTCATTGCAGGATCTGTAGCGACACATACTTTCCAAGGCTGCTGTGCCCTCGTTAACTTTCAAGATCCGCACCTTTCGACACCAGCTATTACGGACGGAAAACAGAAGCTCCTCAGTTTCAGGACCTGTAAACGCTGGCGCCACAGAGAGAAAAGTTGAAACAAGATTCTGAAGACCCCTTCAACTAAAGCCAAGTGCTCACTATTGAAATCCCCTGACTAGCAGCGTACTGTCTGCTTTGGAAACATTCTTCCCTTATTTTACCAAATGCACCGCCTACCCCTGAATTTTTAATTTCTGTAGAATTCCTCCTTACCCATATGTTGTTTCCCCTTAGACGCCATTGGTTCTTCCAGTCCGTTTTAAATACCTCTCTCCCAGGCTCCGGAATGCAATAACAGCCAGGAACCACGCTCAGTCTGGTTCTCTGCTTTATTTCAATGAATCTTTCGGCTTGGTCACTTTCGGTTCTCCTTTACGCCTCCACCTAGCTTTGTTTTCCTCTCCCTTCCGTCAGCTTTCAAAATAATACGAGAAAAAAAAACCTATTTCAAACTTTTCCCCAGTATCTTTTCGAATCACATGACCAAGCACCAATCCCGATTGGCTCACCTTACAGTGGGGGCGGAGGTGCTGAATATTTTAAAATCACAAATATTTGCTCGCTGATTTTTTTTTGTCCATATAGTTAGCAATGCCTTTGCAAACCAGGCGAACAGTAGCGTCCGCCTTCGCAGGAGTTAACAGTGAAACTTCCAGACAAAACACTGGGGCTGGACAGTTTGCTGCAGGATTGGAACCAGTGCATGTAGTTCTTCGGAACAAGTTCCAGAGAGTTTTACAGCTCCACACGAGATTTCTCCTCCCCTTTACTTCATCTCACCCTGTTCCCATACCCTTCTCACTGGGAGACTCCGCTTGCACAGAAATATATATATTGTTGGTTTCAACCACTCTTTGTGCCTTCCCCATTCTGTTGGACAAGATATTTCTCCCGAAGTCGCCATTGGATTTATTAGTGACTTAGATTTACAGTGTTTATCTTTCGCTACTTTGTCTGTGGAAGCATTGTCTTTAAACCCAATGTAGTTTGAAAGACCTTAAACCAACTCAATACTTCTGTCTTTTTCCCGGAGAAATGACTCACCATCTGTTCTACCTTATCCTCTTATTTCTAGCATTGCCCTTTGACATCCTTTCCAGAGAGGTGGAATGTGGAGGCCCCGACCAGGCTGAATTGCAGCACATTTGGTCAGTTTGAGCTGTTTTAACTTTGATGACATGAAGCTTAGTGACCAGCAGCAATAAGTTCTCTCCAAAAGGTTGGCCTATCAAAAGCATTGTCTACAGCAAACCACAAATAAACCAATTAAATTCAAATACTAAACTTCATTTAGTGGATGAAGCCAAGCAATCACCTCCATATTTTCTGTGTAAAGTTTGAATGTATAACCTTCAGGGATCACGATGATTCATGTAGAGTGAATCAGCTCACTGCTCTATGTTGAAATGAAGATGAAGAATTGTTCACCTCCTCTTCCCAGCACTAAAGGGCTGGCTGACCTCTCAAATTATCAGTTCAAATGTGTTCATGATCTTTTCATTATTTTAGCACATACCATTTTTTAAACTGCCCACCATCCTAAAATCCTCCAAGAATACGATACCTGTTCTGTTCTGGCCACTTGAACAGACTGGATTTTAAGCGCCCCATTGTAGATAGACAGCTGACGGCTTAACTAGGCACAGTTTGTAATACTCTCCATAAAGCATTCAGTCTCTGTCTTCCTGTATGACACTCTGGAAACTTGATATCTTCTTATCTGTTTCAGAGTCATACTTTATACTGAAAATGCGCTGTGAAGCCCTTTGGGATATCATATGAATGCAAGCTGCTGATATTGTTCTGGTTGGTTGCCTGGCCACTGCATTCCATACACAGAATAACCCCAAATTTATCACCAGATCAAAGCAGCACAGATAAGAGAGAGTAGGAGCAAATCACTGCAGAGGTGTCAGCTGGTAGGCTATTCTGTAAGAAGCTCAGTTGGATGGATGGCTGGTTTGTGATGCAGAGTGGCACCAACAATGTCAGTTCATTTCCCATAACAACAGAGGTTACTGTGAAGGGGTCTCCTTCTCAACCTCTCCCCTTGCCTGAGGAATCCTCAGTTTAAACCACTATCAGTCTCTGTCAATAGGTGAGAGACTGGAAAAGCACAGCAGGTCAGACAGCATCAGAGGAGCAGGAAAGTCAATGTTTTGAGCCAAAGTAGTGACTTTCCTGCCCTCTGATCTGCTGTGCTTTTCCAGCCTCACACCTGTAGACTCTGGCTTCCAGCATCTGCAGTCCTTATTGTCTCCAAGGCTTTAAACCACCACCAGTCATCTCTCTCTCTCTCTCTCTAACGACAGCAGCCCTATGGTCTGGTGGGATGATGGCAACTTTATCTTTTACCTATAAAATCAAATTTTCAGAAACACTGCAGTGGAAACACATCAAGAAATCAGACAGCAAAGTATCAGATATACTTATTATCCCTTTTGGTTGAACTACACTCAAAACTATCTAGACAGGGCAAGTTGGAGGAGGATTATGGCAAAACATCATTTTGTTGAACAGGAAAACATTCTTTTCATGAGTGCTCTACTTATCTGTTCAGAAACATATCAATTGAACTGTTCTTCTGGCCTTGTTTTCAACTTGTAGTAAAGTTTGGTAAAAAGTAAAAGTGTAGTACCAGACTGACTCCAGCAAGGCTAATCAAGCTGTTGCAGCCCTACCCAAAATTTTAAACTCATCAGCTTGTCATCCATCTCCCAAAGTACTTACTGGGCAACATAAGTTATTGTGTCTTAAAGCAATTCATTGTGCAATATTTGGAACATTTGTAAACTGGGAAAAGGCACGTGTTGAAGATTTGCTGTAGCATTAAATCCACAGGAACACTTTTAGTTGTGTATTTTCTAATCCACTGTTACAAGTTGAACTTCTATTCAGCATAATCAGTAGAAGAAGATAGTTTTACAAAGATTCAAACAAATCTGCTGAAAACTGTGTGCCTCCAGGTTTGGAGTATCTTTTGAATGACTCATCTGCTAAATTTCCAAAGTATTCAATGAATGTACACAGTCTTGCAAAAATGGCCACAATGAAAAAGTGCAATGAGACTTGCCAACTCAGTTCACCCGCTCATATCCCTGACTGGCTCCACGGCAGCATCAAACAGTTCCATAAAATGATTGCAGTCTGTTGGAAGGTCATGTTGCGACTGTACAGGACATTGGTTAGGCCACTTCTGGAATACAGGATTCAATTCTGATCTCCCTGCCATAGGAAAGGTGTCGGCAAACTTAAAAAGGTGCAGGAAAGATTTGCAAGGATGTTGCCAGAGTTGGAGGTTTTGAGCTATTGGGCTTGGCTGAATAGGCTGGGGCTATTTTCCCTGGAGTGTTGGAGGCTGAGGGATGACCTTCTAGAGGTTTATAAAATCATGAGGAGCATGGACATGGTGAATAGCCAATGTCTTTTGCCCAGGGTAGGGGGATAACTGAAGGATGTTGGTTTAAGGTGAGAAGGGAAAGATTTAAAAGGAATCTAAAGGGTAACTTTTTCATGCAGAAGGTGGTGGACGTATGGAATGAGCAGCCAGAGGAAGTGGTGAAGTGTGGTACAATTACAACTTTTAAAAGGCATCTGGATGAGTACATGAATAGGGAGGGTTTAAAGGGATATGGGCCAAATGCTGGCAAATGGGACTAGATTAATTTAGGTTATCTGGTCGGCATGGATGAGTTGGACTGAAGAGTCTGTTTCTGTGCTGTACAACTCTATGACTCTTTGCCTCAACTATTCCACCCAGGGGGCAAATGTTGATCATTCTGTGAAGAATGTCCTGAAATCTGATCTAAATTTACCTTTGAATCAGAGATAGTAGGAACTGCAGATGCTGGAGAATCCGAGACAACAAGGTGCAGGGCTGGATGAACACAGCTGGCCAAGCAGCATCATAGGAGCAGAGAGGCTGACGTTTCGGGCCTAGACCCTTCATCAGAAAAGTGGGGGGGGAAGGGGGTTCTGAAATAAATAGGGAGAGAGTGGGAGGCGGATAGAAGATGGATAGAGGAGAGGATAGGTGGAGAGGAAACAAACAGGTCGAAGAGGCGGGGATGGAGCCAGTAAAGGTGAGTGTAGGTGGGGAGTTAGGGAGGGGATAGGTCAGTCCAGGGAGGACGGACAGGTCAAGGGGGCGGGATGAGGTTAGTCGGTAGGAGATGGAGGTGCAGCTTGAGGTGGGAGGAGGGGATAGGTGGGAGGAAGAACAGGTTAGGGAGGCAGGGACGAGCTGGACTGGTTTTGGGATGCGGTAGGGGGAGGGGAGATTTTGAAGCTTGTGAAATCCACATTGATACCATTGGGCTGCAGGGTTCCCAAGCAGAATATGAGTTGCTGTTCCTGCAACCTTCGGGTGGCATCGTTGTGGCACTGCAGGAGGCCCAGGATGGACATGTCGTCTGAGGAATGGGAGGGGGAGTTGAAATGGTTCGCGACTGGGAGGTGCAGTTGTTTATTGCGAACCGAGCATAGGTGTTCTGCAAAGCTACCTTTCATCAGTTTAAACATTGCAGTAAAAAAAGCTGAAGACTCTCACTGTTCCTGATTACTGAGTTTTATGATGCCACACTCAAGCTTTCTTCTCCATACCTCCTTCCATTAATTGAATATCTTCCTGATAACACTGATGAAACCACGAAGCACCCACACCCCATTTCCTTTCCCCAGCCACATGTAAATTTCCAAGTTTCTATGACATGTCGATTCTACCTGAGTTCACAATTTGAAGGTGTTCCATGACCATGGTTTCCCACCCACTGTGGTTGACAGGGCCCTCAACCCCATCTGACCCATCACCCACGCTTCTGCCCTTGCCCCTTCCCATCAGTCACAAGTGTGATTGGGTCCCCCTTGTCCTCACTTTTCATCCCACATTCAAAAGATTATTCTCCGCCATTTCGGACAACTTTAGCAGAACACCACCACCAAACACATCATCTCCTCACTTCCCCACCTGCATTTCAGAGGGATCGTTCCCTCCGGGACACCCTAGCTCATACCTCTACCATCAACAGCAACCCCCTTCGCATGGCACCTTCCCATGTAACCGCAGAAGGTGCAGCACCTGCCCCTTCACCCAACGGCCTAAACAGTCTTTCCAAATGAAGCAGCATTTCATCTTTAACTCCTCCAGTCTTGTGTATCATATTTGCTGCACCCAATGCGGCAGACTGGGTGACTGCATTGAAGGACACTTCCAGTCCATGTGCAAGTGACCTTCCCATAGCTAGTCATTTTAACAATGTCCTGCTCGCATGCCCACATGTCTGTCCTCGGCATGCTGCCATCTCCAATGAATCACAGACAAAACTGGAGGAGCAACATCTCATCTTCAGGCTAGGCACTTTACAACCTTCTGAGCTCATTATCAAGTTTAACACCTTCAGATTGTGAACCAATTCCTTCCCTGTCTTTTAACTTTGCTTATTACGTTCTCTGTCATCATGTCCTCT